AACGTCTTCGCGCTAGTAATTTCTATTCATAAATCCCCAATCAATGAAAAATACGGCGGCAATGGGTTGGGTTTTTAGGACCATTGCGGAAATTTTCGCTGTTCGATGCACTTTGAACAAGAGTGCTTCTACAGATTCTTCGTTAATTGAAGCTCTAAAAGAACCCTTATATGCTGTTTCGACAATTTGGGAGATTGAAAAARAATCCAAAATTTGCTCCGTGAGAGAAAAAGCCAAAAGGTGAGGGACAAAATAAAATAAAATTTCTCGCAAAATCGCATTCCAAAATGTGGGTTATTTTTTTGCTTTTCTTACACCAAGTGATTTTTTAAAATTCTAAATTTAAAAATTTCTCTGAACCTTAACCCTTTCACCATAGTATCCCTCTTTTCCGGGAATGTAATTTTGTTTTCCACACGAACTATCCCGCTTTTGCAGGAATTTGATCGTTCGTAGTTTGGAAGCTGGAAACTACCGCGTAATTGGCTATAGGGGGGCTATTAATATTGACGAAATCTACAATTGAAAAAACCCCCAAGCACATGCTTTCCACCATATTGTTTTATATGAAATTTTTGACAAAGAAGCAAAAGAAAGTTTTACTCAGCGCGCGCGTTTAAATGACGCCATTTTTTAAAGAGCAAACACGACATGAGTGATTCAGAAGAATCTCTATATGAGGTGAATTTGTACCATTCTATAGCAATGAGGATCATTGATTTTATCACTATGATTTCAAAGACAACCAATATCACACTAACATGAAAAATTGAAATAAACATACTAAATGGAGACCATGATGTTGAAAGAAATGACAATAATGACAACAAGGAATGCCCAAAAACTAGGTATAAACTTAATATTTCAACACAAATGTAGCAATTTTCACTGTCTTTTAATTAAATTCATCCGACATTTTTTACATAGTAAYACCAACAATAAAGAGAAGAGCCAAAATAGTCTTCCTGTCTATTAGCTGTTGTTGCTCTTTAATTTTTGCCATTTCTGCTGTCCAATCCAAAAAATAGAGTCAAGCAAAAAACAATGCTTACTAATCTACTCTTAGTGCAATGGTTAAAAAAACACCTGGCAAATCCAGATGCTAGGGAAGTTTCCTGCGAGTCAGCATCATGTTCTCTTCCTCTTCTTCTTTAGTTACTGTTCTTTCGTTCTCTGTCAACTCTTCAAGCGGTTCAACACTGTCATCATGACTTCACAGGTTTTCAGATGCTGAGAAGAAACTCTCATTTGAAGAATCGGAGTCATTTTCATAGCAGTTTGCTTTATTTCACTCTCCAATTCATTGTAACTTTCTTATAAAAACATCGAATCAAGAAGTCACGTGTTAAGTCAGTGACGTCACTGACCTTCTCCTCGGGAGATACCGCAGTCTTTTGTATTTGGGGCTCAGGTATCAAACTGATTAATGGCGGACGGGATTTTAACTACTTTCGAAGCTTGTTTTCTCATATTATTTTGACTTTTTCGATAAAAAAATTAGCCAGCATGCTTAGTTAGACTTCAAAGAATTTTTTTTCATCGTAGCCGCACTTTAAACAAATACAAATTATTGCATTAAGATTGTTTACCTACAGCAAAAGTGTCCCTTTAAATGAGCGCTTGGTCTTTCCTACAACACGTGAAAAAAATCATTGCTTCGAGAAGACAGAAGAAGCAAAGATCTTGTATCCCAGAGAGCTCTTCGATCCAACCTCGTTCCCAGGGCTACTCTGCGCCCAGAGATAGCCCTGACATCGGCCAGTCAAATATGGATTTTGATTRGCTAAGATTTTTCTCACTTTTCATTGGTTGCTCATTTGTTGTGACTTTTTAACACAGAAAAATTGAAGACACAATTCCAATGTAAACTAAAATGCCTGAGTTCAGCGTCTACAAAGATGCTAAAACTACTAAAAGAAAAAACATGAAGTAGTCTATCGCCATGCACTAGGTCTATTTACAGTAAGTAGAAGTGAAGACATGAATATTCGTGAGACGTTTGAACTACGTTTGAACATGTTGAAGACAAAAAAAAGACTTCCCTTGTAGGAATTCAGTATACTTTAAATATACTTTTGAATAATTAAAAAGTATACTTCAATAGTACTTTAAGTATACTTAAAGTGCACTTATAAAAGTATACTTTAAGTRCTATACTTTTGGTCACTTAAAAAGTATACTGAAAGTATACTGTATGAAAATGAAATATACTTTCAGTATACTTCTATATTTGATGTACATGACTATACACAAAGCAAGTATACTTTACATTTCAACTAAAAATAATTTAAATAAATACACATATTCAGGTATATTCTGTTAATTATATAAAAATGTACTTACTTGCAGTCCTTGACTTGATAAAGTGCTAACTCATTACAGTGCACAGACATAATTTGTTCACATGTAATGWAATGAAACGTAAAAGTTTATTGCATTTGTCTATTGATGAATAATACAGCATTTTGCAAAAAAAACATGTAAAAGTTAAGCTTGCATGTTATAATTCAGATACTATTTGTTATCTACTGTCAGTACATTATTTGAAATGAGGTCATTATCATTTTTGTATTTAATGATTTTTTCTAGATACCTTCGATACGGTATAGAAGTTGATAGAGTTAACATAATTTCATTTGAAAAATATATGATATAATTTTATCTTTTGAATGTACAGTTGTATATATTTATTACTGGCCTTGTTTCTTTCGAGCACAAGCTTCCAAACAAGTTATTTTGTTTCGTAGGGCAATACGAACTGGGCTGTCGCTGATGCCATTGAACCTTTTCCTTATGAAGCCTGATACAAAAGATAGCATGTATAGATTAATTTACTAGTTATAGATTGTCTTCGGTGTGAACAAAAGGCAAAGTTAGTGGTGGGGGCCCTGCGCACGATGTTCGTGTACCACTGCGTTACAAAACGTGTAATGCTACGTTTCATGCTGTATTTTCGTTGTAAAAATATCTTTCAACGCAGAAATTCACGAAATTAATGTTTGAAGCATGGACAACCTAAAAACGTAATAAATTTCTTAAAAACATGCAAATATTTRAAAATATTTGCAAATATTGAAGTGATGTTAAAAAAGTGCATTTTTTGGGCCGTTTTTGCAAGGTACCCCTTTCTAAACTTTATTGAAAAACTTTGACAAATTTGGATGTATTTCACGAAAAAAATAGAAATTTGCGTTGTTCATTAAATTGTCATCATGTACATGAAACTTTTGTCTTTCTTGGAGACGTATGTTAGAAGATATTCCACGAGAGCCAGCATTACATGAAATATTGTTTTGGACGAAAAATAAAAACACTTGCCTTTTTTGCCTTGTTGCCCTCATTTTATTGTTGCCTTGTTTGCCTTGTTTGCCTTTTTTGCCCCGCGTGCGTGTTTAGCCTAAACTAGGTCACACAATCTCAAGATACTATTTGGCATAATGAAAATTATTGCTGATACACCAGTAAATGAATTCTTCGAATAGATGCTCAATAATTTAACAACCATTTGAAAGAAAGCATGGATCGTTTAAATAAGACTCTTATTAATGTAGTTAAGTAATTATGCCGACTTTTAAGTCGGGAGATCTCTTATCATTGTGTTAATTTTTTAGTCGGGCCGGTTCACAGCGTTTTTCGCCCGGCATCGATGCAAATTATTTCAACAAGCAACAGACGGTCTTATTACTGTATTTACCGTACAACAGTTGATTTGAAATCCTGAGAAATGATTGAATTTGAAGCTTTGAAACTGGAATTCGATTTGTAATAATTAGRTGATCAATGATGCGATAAGATCTGCGAGGAATTAATTCACTCGAAAGCTTTTATATTATAGGTGTGATAACTTAACTTTATTTTGATATTTTCAGGATCTATGAACTATATGCTTTTATGTAAGGATATCAGCGATGTTTGAATAATCTTTGACTGATTTATCGGTATGTTTGATTACATATCTGAGCGTAAATTTATTTTATGTAAATTAGACACCCGATAATTAAATCTTCCATCGGAACGCGTGACAACCTCGTTGAAGGACTCGCCTGTTGGAAAAAAGGCAAAAAGGGCAAAAAAGGCAAAGCGCAAAAAAGGCAGCAAGGCAAAAAAGGCAAAGGCAAAAATTCAGYGCCAACAGGCAAAAAGGGCAAACAAGGCAAAAAAGGCGTGGAATTTACGGCTTTCTGAAGCCGATATGTAACACGCTCTTGCCATATTTTTCACGACCCATGTTAACATTTTGTACAAAATATCTGTCTTTTCATTTGTCACGTCAAGTATTGAAATATCTGTTTGAAAGACCATGAAATTCTCCCGAAGTTTATATAAAAAAATCACAAAATCAGTCAGTAGTTTTCGAGTAAATTACAATTCCCAGCTACAAAAACGAGTTGGGGCCTGGGCACTAGAAATGACCACGTTGTCCTGGAGATAGCTTGGGTAGACAGCATGTTCGATCATTCGATAACTATAGTAAACAAACTACATTGATACACGAAAATAACTGCGACTAAAATGCCAAAACCTGTCAATTGCTGCGTTCCTGGGTGGTTTAATAACTTCAGAAATTCTACTGGTCTTCAGTATTACAGGATTCCAAAGGATAGTCAACTGAGAAAGCAATATGTTCGCCTTATCAGAAACCAAACACTGAAAGTAAATAGTGATAACACAAGAATCTGCTCTCAACATTTTGAAGGTGGAAGGAAAAACAATCCAGAACATTTACCATCAATCTTTCCTTGGTCAAAGCCGAAAGAAAGCCGTCGACAACTCATTAGAAAAGAACCTTTGCAGAGCACCAGCAGTATAAACACACAACAAAGCGAGTCGATGTCGGATGCCATGGAAACAAGTGCCGACACTGAGCTTGCAGAAAGCCCATCTTTTAAAGATCAAGGAACTCAAAGTTTTGYACATAATATGTGCGATCAATCAACACAAACAGAGGCATTTGATGTAGCTCAGAACGAGATCTCTATTCGTGAGATGAAYGCGACKATCGAACGACTAACGGARGAGGTCGAACGAYTAAAGAAGGAGTTGTCTCWGGCGCAACATCGACTTAAAGAATACAGATTTGACATTGAAACATTTAAAGATAGTGCAACCGATATTGCATTCTACACGGGGTTTAGTGACTACGAAACATTGATTTTATGCTATAGTATTGTGGAAGAGTCATCTAAGAACCTTAACTATGGATCGTACGAAAAACAAACAGAAGATGGGAAGATAGGCAGACGAAGAAAGTTGACAAACTTCCAAGAGTTTATCCTCGTTGCAATGAAGCTGCGACTTGGTCTTTTTAATAGAGATCTTGCATATCGCTTTAAAGTCCACGAGAACACTGTGTCCTTAATTTTTAGGACTTGGATCCGATTCTTGAGAGATGAACTCGAGCCACTAATCATGTTACCACCAAGAGAAATCCTGAAACAGCACATGCCTCCTCTCTTTACAATGAACTACCCAAACACAGCACTTATTATCGATTGCACTGAATTTGAAATGGAAAGACCATCTTCGCTAGATAATCAGTCTGCATGTTATTCACMATATMAGTCAAGAACAACCATGAAGGCTTTGATTGGAATAACCCCAAGTGGAGCTACAGCCTTTGTCAGTGAGCTTTACCCAGGCAGCATATCAGACAAGGAGATTGTAAAGAGGAGTGGTTTACTCCATGTACTGCAACCAGGTGATGAAATCATGGCAGATAAAGGATTTCTCATTAAAGATGAATTAGCTTCTGTAGGAGCAACACTAGTCCTTCCTAAATTTCTGCAAGGTAAAAAACAATTCAACACAGACGAGGCRGCACATAATAAGAAAGTTGCAAGTCTGCGCGTCCATGTTGAGAGGTGCATGGAAAGGATAAAGAACTGGCACATCCTGGACAGAAGATTTACTGTAACTTCAGCCCCACTTGCAACAGACATTATTGTTTTATCTGCATTCACTAATTTCTTACCCCCTTTAATATCTTAATTTGTTTTCATTTGCAAAATATTGCACATTGTTTATCCTGATATTTCCAGTTTCTTTCAACGTAGCTTTATTATTAAGAAAAGCCAATTACACTCTGCAAATCTGTAATATTTAATAGATATTATTAATCAACAAAGAATGAAGGAAATTGCATCATTTTATTGTGGTTCTGTTTATTGTAGCAAAATAATCAAAAGATAGGTCTTCAATGACCATCTCAGTGAAATTTAATTGCACAATGTATTTTAATGTTTGACTCTATCATAATAATATTTTACTACAATAATGTAATACATAGTCATTAATCTTATTGTATATCTATATATTGACCAATAAATATATTTCTCAATCTTATAAAAGGTTACATTTGCCTTGTGATTATTTCCATATCTAATACTCTACGGGTCTGACCAAGTTTTATACTAGGATAGACAATCTCAGGAACCATGTACTTATGAAAAAATACCTTAAGCTTGGGGAGRACGACATCCCAAAAAATAGAATTGAAATTAACTCTCTCTATGTATAGGGAACTACACTGTGAACCTTTGACAACAAAATCTGTCCATGTCTTGCCTGTAACAAACATCTGATGTTGCATTTGGTAATAATATTTGTGATTATGATTAATCGTTACACAATCACCTGTTGAAACGCAAACTCTCTTTCTTACAAGTGCATCAGTTAATGTTTCTGCGTCATTCATTTGTATATATTTCATTTCAAGAAGACCCATTGACTTGAAATTKTCTACTTGTTCAKTAATGATGCCATCTGGACTGGCTCCTAGRWAACCATRAGTGTGATGAATAAAGAATCCACAATGTTCAACAGAAACATTAACATGCTTCTTCCTTTCTTGGATGTAATCTTTGATGATGATTGGCTCCTGATTTAGGCCAGCTCTCATTGCTTCAGTGGATTTAACTTCATTGAACCCTAGAACTTCTGCAATGGCTTTTGTTGGGGAAGTAGACTCCTTCAATGCAGCACATCGATATGCCTTAGACGCAGTTATTCTGTACTTTCTATGGAAAAACCATTCACTACAATGTGACTGCTCTCTAGTTTGACTCTCAATTGTCTGCACTTCTTCTTCTGATACTTGTAGTTTATTGATGACATCTCTACATCTCTTTTGTATTTCTGCATGAGACACAGGGTGCACTTTAATTGGAGAGATTAAATCCATAACACTGCTTAAGCCTTTCTCATAATCTCTATCTGTGGGATTACTAATAACGTTCTCGTCAGTAGMTGCCTTGTCATCATCAGGAGGAGGTTTGCAATAATTATGGTCTAAGCTTACAGTAGCTTTGATGTCATCTTCTGTGTGTTGCTGTAATATGTGACTYATGCCAATAACTTTTCCAGTTTTATCCTGAAAAGCCATAACTTTAGAATAAATGTTATACAGTTTTGTGTTCCTGTTATTATTAGTAGGACGTTGGCTTACTGGTCTCACATCATGTCCAGGCATAATAACTGGATTTCTTATCTTTTTCACTTTGGCATGTTCATGCTTATGAAACTTCAGATTTGCAACAGGAATGAGATCAACCTTGCGCTTTCTTGGAACATTCCATTTGCACTTTTGTGAAGTACATGCTTCATCACTATCTTGCTTTTCCCTTAATTTACAGAACTCTTCTAGAGAGAAAAGTGTTGCTGCAACATGGTTACAGCGCCCATCTACACCTGCAGGGCATCCACAGTTTGCTTTCTGTATGAGGCCATTCTTCCTTATCACTATATGGCAGAGATATGCAGCTGACTTTTTCATGGATGGCATTACTTGTGACTTAATATATGATCTGCTGCCATTCTCACTATTGCACGATTCCACAGTCAACACATGTCCAGATTTATAAAAATTGAATCCTTTAACTAACGGTTTAGCAGTAGATAATTGCCTTTTAGCACCCACACAAGTAACCATATAAGTCCAAATTGTCTTAAATGTGATGCCAGGAAGGTTTTCGAGCGATGTAGAAAATCCAGTCGTCGGGAATGATGAAGTAAGGTTATCTGGAGCGTGCTGCTCTAGAATACCGAGTTCAGCTTTCTTTCGAGCCAGGTGAACTCCACCATCGGGATCTCGTARTTCTTTCTTATCGAGACCACATTTCTTGTAATCCTTTACCCTAAAGAACAAATAAAAACAATATTAATACTTAATAATACTTAAGGAAGCTTTAAAAATCAAAACGTTTACAAGAAAACTTCACAAAGTTTCGACTAACCTTGATACGAGATCGACTTTTCTTCCAGTTGTACAAGCGCCTCGACAGACCAACCATCGTTTCAATTGCACAACACTGCATAGTTCAGGAGTTTCGTGGGGTAATACGGCTCCTGGAATGTCTAATTCGGTCAGAATATTACTAGAATTTAAAGATTTGTTTGAAGACGCCATGTTTCGCTATAGTTTTGTTTTGTTGCTGTCTACCCAAGCTATCTCCAGGACAACGCGGTCATTTCTAGTGCCCAGGCCCCAACTCGTTTTKGTAGCGGGGAATTTAAAACAAATTTTATTTCATTTCGAGCTTTTTGACAATGGTACACGAACATCGTGCGCAGGGCCTGGGGGATAACTAACCCACTCCCACCCTCACCACTAACTACAGTACCGGTCTCGAGTAAAGTACCATCCGCTTTCGAGTACTCGAACTCGATAYGGACCCGCGAGTTTCGAGTATAGAGTGAAACAATGACAGTTAATGAAGCAGCGAAAACAATGCTACTCGCTTTCACTCTTTACTCGAGACTCTAGAGTGTTTTGAGTGGAGCGTTTCGAACTTAAATTACGGAATCAAATTCACACGAAAGTTAACAGAATAGTTTAATTGTGGCTATGACAATTTTGCTTTGGTTATCAATATGCTTCACTTGTAAGCAAAAATGAACTGGCCTTTAATGATTACCTGTTACAGCGAAAGTGAACGAATAAGAAACCATACTAAACACCAGCAAACTRTGAATCTRCACGAAGATATTTCCAAGCGTGTTTTGAGACTAATCTCGCCTTTCCCATGCCGCTCAGCAGTTCTATCAAAAATTAAAACAACCGAATCGTACTGTTTTTACAAGGTTCTTTAAGCTACTAAAGTTTATACTGTCCTTCATAAAGCTGAAGGTTTAATCAGAATTTTGTCAGGATAAGTGTCCAAACAAATTTGTTCTCTTTTGGCTAGTCGCCAAAACAACTAAATATTTCAATCAGCTACAATCATGATAACAGTAAGAGATAAAAGCGGTTTCTCATGCTTTCATTTTAGAAAAGTTAATCACAGGTTGTTACGGAGTTTGAAGAACATAACGATATATTGCAGAAATTGATAAAATATGCTTTGATAATAACAAAAAATACTAAATTATGCAAGAAAACAGAACAAATAAGCTTCCCAAAGTGCTTTTAACACTGCCTATACAGCGGAATGACGAGACAGTAGGGACCTTAAGCATTAAGACGCGAGAGCGGATGACGAGGTACCGGATGTGGATTTTTGTTTCCGGTCATGTGCATGTGATGTAATCAAGCAAGTTTTGCCGCGTCTTCGAGTTTCTGCGACGTGAATAGGGCTGTTTTGACGTCTTGGGACRACGTGCCATATTTTTCAGCTGTTTTTTTTAAGGTAAGACTAAATTTAGGACTGCTAAAGTGTTTTTCAATCATACAAGTACTATTTGTGTAAATTTGGGAGAAAAAGAAGCTAAATATGTGTTTTTTCTTAATATAAGATGAGTCTTCAGTTCGTTCCGTGTGAGCCCTCTCCCAGCAAAGCTTCAAATCGACCAAAACAATCGTAAGTTTTAATATTTCGTAAGTTTGAATCGCAAGTTAGAAGTGTAATGAGCAACTACCTCAAAGTTTAAAAAAAGATATGCTAGTGATGAAGCAACCTGCCTGATTTAAATCATTTTCCCACTAATTTTAGTAAAACTTTGTTTTGCATTTGAAATTCCCGCCATAAAACTAAGTCATAAATTCACAAGCATTGAGGTGTTGTCTTATTTTTAACAGGAATGTTATGTTTTGGACAGAAGAGCACGATATATTAATGTGCAGAGAAATATTAGCTGTAGACCCATTTGATACTAAAAAAGGAACCTCTCTGAGAGGAGATAAATGGAAAGCTATTGCAGACAACTTGATGGCTATACAAGCACCAAAATTTAAGGTGGAAGCAAGATCAATCAGAGATAGATACAGGTTGCTCTCTTAAAAAGTAAAGAGGAAGTTGAATCAGGAAAAAAATGCCTCAGGCATTGAGACGGATATGAACGAATGGGAAACAGCTATCAAAGAACTACTAGAAAAAGAAACAGAAAGTGATGCTGTGAATGATACAGAAACAGACCAAAAGAATAAAGYAAAGGAGAAAGAAAGGCGGGAGGCAGAAGGGATGCGAATGAAAGCAATGGAAAGAATGGGAAAAAAGAAAGCCGTGAGTGACGAGGGCGAAGAAAGGCCTAAGAAACGAAGATCAAATGGAAGTGACACCTTAGTGTATCTCAGAGAAAGAGGTGAAGCATTGGAGAAGACCAGGGCAGAAGAATGTGAATTGAAAAGGAAAGAAATAGAACTTCAGGAGAAAAAGCATGAAGACTTCATGAAAGTCATRGTTGCACAATAGCAGCAACAAGCAAAGCAAATGCAGGACTTTCAAGCTATGATGCTTGCAATGGCCACAAGAATGGGCCAAAAGTAAACTTTCAAAAGTAAACTTTCAAAAGTAAACTTTCAAAAGTAAACTTTCAATGTTGTGTAAAACAATTGTTGACCCTCAAGTTTTGATATCCAAGAAATTTGATGTGTTAAAGTTTTCCATTCTCCCTAGCTATGGTGCATACTAAGCGTGCATTCACATTAAGGCAAGTTTACAGAAATGAAAGATTTATTGGATAGAAGCATTTTGATGTTGATAACAGTTAAAGAATCTATTGTTATCAAAGTTATATTTATTGTAAACAAATCATTATTATTTATAAATAAGAGATATCAAAATTATACCAGTTTCATTTAAACATTCATGTACTTTGCAATAATTGCAAAATGTAATTATTAGACAGTTATTTAAATATATATCTATTCTATATTTATATTATTTACAGCCTTTTGCACAAATTATGAGACATTTTTATATATATAAATATACCTAACCAAATATCAAAAACACCCCAGAAATTATGGTATATCTCTATTATATTTTGTCATGATTGCCTAGCATCAGGTTGTTACAGACAAAATATSAGCGACGGTRTCCYATAATTTCTTGGGTGTTTTTGATWTTTGGTTAGGTATATTTATATATATAAAAATGTCTCATAATTTGTGCAAAAGGCTGTATTTATTTAAATATAAATGTATCAAAATATATTATAAACACAATTTCCTTCTTATTACTATTGGAGTCTGTAATATTCAGCAGCTTAATGTAAGTCTTATATGGAAACACAAAAAACCCAATCGTAGCACAATATCACAAGTGTCTGGTTCTGATTGTGTTATTAGAAGTATAATTTTCCATCATTTAATAAAATCCTTATGAAAATGTACAGTTTAAAATGTACACATGCTTTAGGGCCCTTTAGAGA